AGATGCTCACATTATATTCTGTAAATAATTTTTACATATATGTCTACAGTAGAAGAAAAATTAGGTAAACTTTTATCTGTCAGTCAACCCCCCAAATAAACACCTACCTCCATATTATTTAAACTAAAGCAATATTTGTTTCAAATCAGATTAATTAAACTTCAAATCAGCTGATATTCCTCAAACTTTCAGAAAATTATTTTTTATTTTTTATTATTTTTAAATATTTTTTTAATTCAGAGAATGACATTGAAAGGACAGCTAAAATGGCACTATAAACTCATTCCAGTCAATTTAATTTAGTTTTAAAATAGAACAAAGTATTTTACTCATTGGAAATATTAAATTTAATCTATTAGTATGAAAATAAAAGTAAAATAAAAGCTTCAAGAAAGATTTTTCATTTTTAAAAATTCATTTTAAACCTTAGATATTGTGTTTTTGTCAAGGAACATACATACATATATATATATATATATATATATATATATATATATAATTTTATAAAAGGGTTGGTTCACTGTGTCATGCTAGACAATTTTTTTTATCAGAATCTATCTTGTACATTAATAAATCTACCACTCGGCCATGCATTGAATATTGCTACCAAATCTGGTCTGGTTCTTCTACTATATATCCGTCCTGGGCATGACAATAAAGTACATCCGCATCTAGGGTAAGACGATAAACAATGTCCAACAGTAAGGTCTCTGATCAGGTGTCTTTGAGCAATGTGGAACGTGTTCCCAGGTCCATCCTGACCTGGGGTGGTAACACCTGTTAGGGTTCCAGCTATGGGCAAATAGTTAACCCCGAAACTGAAGCAAAAGCATTATGAAAGTGTAAAACTAGGTTTTAATACCAGAAATACTTTGTAAAAAAATTATTACCAGAAATAAATTCTTAAAGAAAAACTATTACCAGCAATACATTTTTTTAAAATCACATTACCATCTATACATTTTTGGGGAAAAATATTACCAGAAATAGATTTTTGACAAAACCAAAATATTACCAAGAAAAAAAAAGTTGTTGGCATTCAATGACCCATTGAGGTTGATAAGCCATAAAACAAACCTACTATATATATATAGAGAGATTCTTGACAAAATTCAAATAAGGGTCTATAATGTAATCGATCCTGACCTGGCATTTCAACTTCAGTCACTTTCTCATCGACGTGAACTGGCTTCTCTCTGTCTTTTCTACAAATATTTTCATGGCAATTGTTCTAATGAGCTTTCCTCTGGAGCCTCAACTACATGAATTTAAGCATGATACTAGATTGGTAACTAAGTCTCACAATTTTACTGTTGAATTGGCTAGATGTCACCATATATTCTATTCTAATAGTTTCTTTTCTTACCAATGGAACTTCCTTCCGATTTCTTGTTTCCCTGTCACCTACAATCTTCAAAGATTTAAATCCAGCACCAATCACCATCTTCTGCCTTCCTGAATCCTGTTCTTTTATTTTCCTCTTTCCTCATTAAGGTCTTCTTGCTATCTTTTACTCCCCTGTAACACCTTGCATCTTAGTGACATTATTGCCTTGCTTGGAGTGAATTGATTTAAAAAGATAAAGATACAACAATATTTTCACTTTCTTGAAAAATGATAAAATAATTATTAAAATAATTACTTTGTATGGAAAAGCTATTGAGCAATCTCAAACCATTATTAAGTGACTTAACACTTAAAATGAAGATCAAAATGCACTTCAGTTTTTTAAAGTATAGTAAGTGCTGTTGCCAGTTTAATTTAGAATGTGTAAATAAGCTTTTAATATTAAAACCATAAAGGTACAATTTAAGTTTATATCTTCAATGTTTATGCGTTTCACATTTCTTGCACTTACCGATTTGAAGTTATGTTTCTAAAAGACTTTCTAAATTGAAATTAAAATAATGTCCTTTTAATATTTTTTTTAGGTTCTGTCAAACTTCTTAGTGCAGACACATTGCAAGTTATGCTGAAGCAAGCCCTCAAACCTTATAAAGCTGTAAGTAAATTTTTGATTGTAATTATTAAAATTTTAATTCTAAACTTGAGTATGCGAGTTCTGTTGACTTTTTGATTTAAGCTGCAAGTACTAATATAGTTTTGAACTTTCCAACTGCAAAACAGCATATATTCATTTTCTGAGCATTAAAATTTGTATTCTTCTTCATCATCATTTATTCAGAACATTCTATGCTGCTGTAGTCACCATTCCCCTCCATCTCACAATTGTGGTTAAGTGTGACATTCATGGCAGAATAGTGCAATGGCTTGCTGGTTCCTTTTGCACCAGGTGTCTTAAAGTCACATCATCCCTTCTCTCAGAACCAAAGGTATAATCCCAGCTTGTCTTGGTATTTGCCCATGGCTGGGAGGGAGAAGAGATGGATTCATACCTTTCTTAAGAGTAAGAGTGTAAGTGAATGCAATGAACGCAGCTGGAATTTGAACTTGGCTCTCTGATTCTTCATTCTGAGCCACTATCCATTACGCCACCGTACCTCCCAAAATTTGCGTTATGGCGCTTAAATTGAACACCTGGAAGCTATAACGTTTTCAGTCAAGAAAATGATCATCAATAAAGGTATTTTTATTTAATGTAAATTCAAGAATCAATAATATTAAACAGGAGATATATCAGTTTAATATTATTGATTCAGGGTGGGGCAAAAGTAGGCTTAAACTTAGTAGATATGCACTTTACAATTTTATATTTATTTGTTACAATCATATTTGTATAACAGCTGACCCTAGATTTGAACAGGTAAGATTGTATTGAGCAGGAAAGCATCCCCTCGGGAGTGTGTATCACAAAGTAGCAGTTCTTGGTAAGAAATATTAGTACCATTTAATAGTATGATTTGTTTGCCAGTCATAATTTACTGGCAATCTGATGCTAGGAAGATATTTAATAGTTTCCTATTCACCAGGTACTAATATTAGCATTAGTGTATCTATTGATAAACACTGAATAAATGGAAATGAAAGACAAGATACACCTGTACAGAATTAAAACATTTAATAAATATGAAAAAAACTTAGTTACATCTAGCCATTTTGACTGTGATGTAGAATGCTTAAATGATAAATATGCAAGTCATAGCCTAGGAAAAGATTAAATAGATTGAGGATCTCATTTCCTCCTTGTCACACTCCTGATGATGTTTGAAATGTTTCTATGTTGGGTTCCTTACCAGACATGTAAGATTTTGTAGACAGTTAAAATTCTTCTATTAGATCGATGCATTCAGTGGTTTCAGAGCTTAGAAGGTGATTTCTAATGGATGAGAAGAAGTCGTCTCTATTGGTGTAATCATATGTCGCTGTGAAGTCAACATAGAGAGGTATGCAATTTTCTCCAGTTGTTTGATGACATATATGCCATCATTACATTGCCAGAACAAAAACCAACCCGAGTTGTGAGGAGTTGACATTCATAAAAATATGAAAGCCAAGTTGATCTAATGTTCATTAATACTTTCACAATGATGGACAGAATTATATGTGTGAGGTTCTTGAGAGCTACCTTTCTGTTTCCATAGTGTATTAATGTATGATAAACTACACTTTTTGGGGATGTATTTCTGATTCCAAAAAAATAATCTTATAGACACTCGATATTACAGTTTTATGGAGTTATGCTCACTATAAGTTATGGTAGGTCTGTGGTGTCTTGGTATATATTAGAGACTTTGTGTGTATGCATATATATATATATATATATATATATATATATAAAACTTGGTCTCATTAAATAATTTAAACAAGTATAGATGTATTTTCAATAATATATATATATATATATATATATATATATATATATATATATATATATACACACACATTATGAAATAGACAAAGTCCGACAATTATTTTAAGACATTTAAGAGAATCTTCATAGAAAATTTTCATTCTCCGACAGGAATCGAACCTGTATCCTATATGGAACCATCATATAGCCTGCCGTGCCTTTAACCATTTCAGCCACAGAGGAGCGTTCGGTTAGAAAGGTCGATCTTACTGTCTTTAAACTTTAATCTTCCATGAATCTCTCACATACATTCATATCTATGAAGATTTCTCAGATATTCAGGCTGGTAAATGTTGTTTAATACTGTTTATTATAAAACGGAGCATTTACTTAAATATTTGTATCTATAAAAAGAATGTATAAACATAAAATATCTTAAAATATATATATATATATATATATATATATATATATATATATATATATATATATATATATATATATATATATATGTCTCATTAAATAATTTAAACAAGTATAGATGTATTTTCAATAATATATGATCTCATCTCTCCTTATAAGACCTGAAATATATTTTATCTAACTGCACCACATGAACCATCTAAAGTTGTTGAAAAGAATCTCTATTCCGTAAGGATACTTTTCAAATTGAAATGTCAACAGAATACTTAAACACTATTTACATCGTTTGGATTGTTGTCCTCATCCTTATTGCCATATTCACAACGTTTCGGCTGTTTTACACTATGGACTTCTTCAGGTGATATACATGGCCCAGTGAATAAAAGTGTTGGTTGAAGTAATCCAGTGATTTGAGTTGTGAGTTCAAAACCTGACAACAGCAGAGGTAAACAAAAGTTTGGAGAGTTGAGTTACTGAAGAGAATTAACTGAAATTGAGATATTCAGAAAAGGCATGGCATGTGGAACTAGAACAATCTACCCTGGTGGATGAAAGAAAATGTTAAGTTTGAAATTCCAATGTATATGACCTGAAAAATGCTGGAACGTACTGAACAATGTAAATAGTTACAATACCTCATCTCAGAAATATAGACAGATCCTGAAGAAGGTGGCCGGAGCGTACAACATCTGAAATGTGAATATGGCAATAGTGATGAGGACAACAGTCTGAACAAATAGTCAAAATACCTCATCTCAGAAATGTTAACAGAATGTGTAAAATATGATAATGTTTTTCTCTTTTATTTTTTTATTTTTTTTATTTTTTTTTATTTTTTTTTCAAGGTTGTGGCTGTTAATCTCTACAAAGATGCTTTATGGAGTCGAATTATGATGTCAAGTTACAGCAACAGACTTAATGCTTTCAAAGTTACTGTCTCCTTCTTTGTCTATTACCCAAGTTTACCTTTTGTAATTGTCAAACAATTGAAAGATCCCTTACTTAGCATTTTAATGGAGGTGAGTTGTTCTTAATAAATTTACTTAAATATTTTGCTTTTATTTATTTCGTTTTTGTTGTGTTTGTATAAGCAAAAATAATATGGTGGTTTTATGCATTTAATTATTTAATAATAAAGAAAAATGAAAAATTATGGGCTGACTTTATGAAGGTAAATTGATAAGTTAGATTTCCAATCATAAAACAAGTTTTTATCAAATCATTGCAAAAGTTTGTGCCCAATTTTCACTGTTAATATAAAATGACAGCAATTTGACACTAAGATTTGTTTTGGTGCTGATTTCTGGTGGGTTCTAGATTGAAACCTTTCATCGTTCACATACAAGTCAGACTTTGTTGAATGTTGACATTTTGTCCATATTTGAATGATGGAGAATGAAAAGTTGCACTTTCATCATATTATGCTCTATGAATTTTGGAAAGGAATACCATGAAAGGAAAACCAATGTAATTTGTGCACCTGTGTAATTTATGCAAGTGATTTTCAGGATAAAATTTGTTAGAAAAACCTTCTACTCATGTAAAATTCGCGCCCCAAAATTTTCAGAATTGCCGATATGGCCAGGGGAAGAGATTTTCAATTTAGTTCTAGTTAGCATAATTTCATTTATGATTAGATTTTAAGTTTTCATTAAGTAAAAATAATTTCTATTTAATAGGTAAGTATCACATTAAAAGATACTAAATGACTTTAATGCAGAGTCATTTTTTATGTTGGATGATGAGGACAAGTACTTTGGATTTGATAAACATGACTGACAACAAGTGAACAGTGCATCGATTTCACAGCAAAACAAGAAAAACAGTCTAGACTAAAACCATATAGTCAAGATTATCCATATTATTATGTATATCCAGTCAAGAATATCCATATCACTGTGTGTCAGTCATGCTCCATTATTATAGGTAGAAACTCCAAGCAGTGTAAAATATGACCTGTATCATGATTACTAGCATGAATGTTGGACTTCAAAAAATAGTTAACCATTTAATGATTTTAGTTAAATTATACAGAAAAAGTAATCATTATACCATTCAGCATAAATAAAAGTCAATTTCATTACATTTAAGGCCTTAGTTTTTTCTGTATAAATTTATTGACATTAAATGAGTCAACTTCTGGTACAAATGTTTACATTTTTACATCTTTTTTTCAATAAGAAAAATTAAAAACAAAAAAAAACTGGAAATGTAATTTATGCACCACTACCTCCTTAAGTAGATGCCTTACATGCCACTTCTTGAAGTAGAATACATTTAATAAACATTTATTAACCTGTAACTTACAAGAACCTTTAAGGAAAATTTTATTCAATAACAAAAAAATTCTTTTTTAAATCACATAGTCGTAGACATCTCATCATCCAGGAAGCACTATTGATTAAATACCGTTCCCCTGCTATCAATCTTACACTGTTTAGTAGTGGAGATGATGTGTTAAAGCTTTTCTAAAAGCAGGAGTGATGCCCAGGTCAAACAGTCGCACATAACATGTGACCATTGAAAAAGGCATACACTCCTTCATGAGATCCCCACACAGCTAAACTACTATCTAAAAGACAATACATGAAACGTGAAATCCTTGATAATAATGGCTATAGAACTAGCTGAAAGCACATGGAACAATAACTTTGAACAATTTTTATATTCTTTAACCCCTGAAAAATGTTAGAATGCTGAAAAAACTCATAAAATATTAATTAAATCTTCCTTGTCAGCTGTTTTCAATGAAAGATGCCTGAAAGAGAGATTTCTGCCCATATATATATATATATATATAGTACAGGTAATAAATCTGTTGGTATATCATACAAATAGATCCTTAAAACTGATCCACAAAAAATGCTCTATGCATTTATTATAACAGAGCATATAAATTACACAACAAAATTCCAAATTACCACACACACACACACACACACACACACACATATATATATATAAGGCATAGGCAGCTTAACCAAAATAACAAATTTTTTGGGTTTCATCTTCGCACTGTGAAACCACATCAAAATTTTTTACAAAACTGAAATTGTTTGGTTTAAGTCCTATCACTACTGGGTGACCACATCCAAAGAAACACTATTGAAAAAGACTTTCAGATGTTAATAAAATTAAATTTTATCAACATTTATACCATTGTAAGAGAAAAAGATTGAACACAAATATGTTAAAATCATTTAATTGACTAGTTTTAGGAAATAAATGTGAAATCTATTTGTTTACAAAAGAAATGAAAAAAACCGACATATGACACTTGGAAATCATATAATGTTTTCCACCAGAAAAACAAAGGAAAATACATGGCGTCTGAAATCTTTGTTTCAGTTTTCAAAAAAAAAAAAATCTTTTTATGGTAAAATTAAGTTAACAACAAAATAGTGAGTAAAAATAAAGAAATAGTTGCCAGTTTCGTCTTAATGTTAAATTTTATCAAGTCGGATTTTTTGTAATTGTTTTTTAGTATGTCAGTACACCAATCACAAAATAAAGCTATTGTAAACAGGGAAAATGAATGAAGATTTTTCTTATAAATAAATTTGTTTTCATATCTAGGGAATTGCACCTAAATTAGGTATTAAGAATAATTAAAATAGTTCTTAATTTCACTTTTAAAATGTGTATATTTCCAGATATGCGAGTCTCTAGTGTAAAAATAATTGTTTTCTGCAAATAAAATTGTTTCTGTCTAGTGAATACACCTAAAATTCAATCTTAAAAAAATAAAGTAAGTTTTAATCTATTTTAAAATGTGTATATTTTCAAAACGGCAATTCATTTTTTTTTTTTTTTTTTTTTAGCCCAAAGTAAAAAAAATTATTCTTTTTTCGCAACTAGTCAGTGTAAGACAGTAGTTTCAATGTAAGTTCTTTTACCACACATTTATATTACTATCAGTTGTTTTTTGTTTTTTTTGCTTCCATGGGTCAGAAGATATGAACATCTTCCTGGTTGTAATTTAAGGTGTCTTCTAATTGAGTGTACAATTTCAAGAATATTGATAAAGATTGGTCACTTTGATTTTACAAAACAAAGTAACATGTAAAATTTAATCTTGAAAAAAAAATTTCACATTTTTGGTGGTTTGAAGCAAAATACCATTTTAACTCACTGTTAAAAAAAAAATAATTCAATGAATAAAAGCACATACAAATTACATATTTAGAAAGATTATTTTCTTGCCAGTCATATGAATATTTTTAAGAGTGGATCAGAAGTACACAATAAATTGCAAGTTGAATGAATTAAGTTGCAAATTTAAATTTATCAATCTCAACCAAAATTAGATATCGACTGGAAATGCTGTCATTACACAAGAAAATGAATGGCTTCCTTAAAAAGCAAAAAACAATGAATTAAAAACTGAAAAGCTGAATTAAAAACCGCGATGCCAAGGAAAAAAACAATGCAAACCGATACCGAAACATAAGTTACCAAACTGACCAACTCTAATACATAACTTTTCAAAAATTTGGTTGAATGACCAAGCTTGATGTTTTTTTTTTTTGTTTTTTTTTATTATTATTATTATTATTACCTTCTTGGTGGGTTGAGAAATTTTCAGCATCTTGTATCTAATAATTCTTTTCTATTTGACTTCAGGAAATGCTGCTTATTTTTAACTATACAAATTATAGTAAAATGCGGTTTTCTGGGAGGCATATTGGTTCACTTGCAACTATGGCTTTAAATCACATGACCCAGGCAAGTATCATGGTTTGCTTTTAAAAAATATCAAATATATTTCTGAACAGAGTAAAGATTAGAGCAATTGAGTAAATATGAAAAGAATAAATCTTATTTAAAATGTTGAAGAAGTAAATGTAGAATTATTTGGAATTATTAGTTTAACATTTGTGCACACAGAAAAATGGTGTGTCAAAAAGATGGTTATTCCTTTGACAACCCTATTACTGTAAACTCCCTTCACTCTCTCAACAATGTTTACTGTTTTAAAAACAATGATTAGAATGTTGATAAAACCCAAACACATGAAAGTGAGTTTATCTATTTTCTTTATACTTGAGAAATGACAGCAAAAATGTTAAACAAAATTTATTAGATTTTTTTTATTTACAAGATTATAAAAATATATGAATCAACTATAATGAAATATTTATTATTTATCATTTTATAAAGAAACAAATAGAAAAATTAATTTTTTTTCTATTCAGAAATTCATAAAAATGTCTGAATAAGAAAATTTACTCACATAATGATGAGTCACTGCAATTATAAATTTTGAAAAAGTACACTTTCCAGCTATTTCTTACATTTGCTCTCACTACATGAATTCACTAAAATGGTTTTTATTGTTATTTATGAAAAAGTAAAGATTTTGATAATTTTGTAAGTTTTTTTTATAAATTTTTGAATAAAAAGATTTCTTTATAAAAGGTAAATAAGATAGGATTACTGCAAATAAATGTAGTTTGTCATTTAGCTGATCACATTGTACATAGTTCACATATTTTTATAATCTTGTAAATAAAAATTGCCAATGGTGTCAAAATCAAGGGAATAACTGTCCTTTTGACACACTGTGTTTTTTTTTTTTTTTTTTTTTTTTTTTTTTTGCAGGTACAAATGTTAAATTTTGCCAAATATGGCTTATTAATCCCTTTAGAGATGGGAGCAAAATTACTGCTGATTCTTTATTGAATTGATATAAAGAAACAAAATATTTTAATTTTTTATTTATTTTTTTTGTGGGGATGGGATATAGGATTGCCAAACTAGGTTAAAAGTAGTAAATTGGATTGCATTTGAAGGTCTAGTGTTGGAAAATTTTGAATTCACTGATAGGCATTAATCTTCTAGCACGAGTTAGCCTCGCTGTATGGAATGATATTCAGAATTTGGCAGGACTTGATTTTCAAATGTATCTCAATATAACAATTCTGTAAGAATTTTTATTCTCATCAGCATTAAAAAGAAATGTAGGATTATTTGGATAAAATAAATAGAATTAGGATTTCCTTACTATTTTACATATTTCTTTATGATTTCAATTTAAAAAGAAAAAAATGTGTATTTTGAATTTCTTATAGAAGTATTGCCATGTTCTTCTTTAAGCCTTTTAATATTTTTTCACAAACCTTATGGTCTTTTACAGACAAAATCAACATTACTGCTAGATGTCGACAAGAAGAGAAAAGGTTGGTTTTGGGAATATATTATTAATTCAAATTGCTGTTAGTTTGAAACAAACAGACATTGTAATAAAAAAAAATTTGAATATATTAAATTTGATACACTTTTCTATTAATTTCCTTTAATAGGGTGGGGTACTCATGTGGCACAATAGGTCCCCCACATGACTGGTTGAACACACACGAAGTCAAGTTGGCTCTAAATGATGTTATCAGAGTCAAAAGTATATCAAGTTTTTTTTTTTAATGGCTGGAAGATAGTCTTTGAAGTCGAGGGTTCAAATTGGCAATCCACTTGAGCGAGGAAGAAGAAAATAACAAAGAAATAAATGAAAAAAGAGACCAAATGGCACTTTGTCAGAAAAATAGATGTTTCCGCTGGCAGCCCTATGTAAGTAGAGTTCTGGTTAGGGCTGGGAATAGAGAGGAGACGTCCATTCAATCAGTTACATCGGTATCAGCTGAAGTAAGAAGAAGAAGTGTCAAAGAGATCTATTTGCCACTTATCTACTACCAGAAAGAATACCAAGTATGACCAGAGAACCTAACTGAAATAAACACTAAATTATTGAGAACAGGATCTGTGTTTTCATCTTCCGTTTTTGTGAACATACTGTGAGTCTTTTTATCCGAAGGCATATTGAGATAACCAAAAATGCATCCCAAAACCTAAGAGTATTAAGAAACAGGAAAATTTTGTTAGAAACAGAGAAAAGAGTACTGAACTGTTATGTGATATCTGTCCTCCTACACGGCAGTGAGTGTTGGACAATCTTCTCAAAGATGAAGAAGAGACTTGAAGCAACATAAATGTGGTTCTACAGAAGGAAGCTGAGGATACTATGGACTGAATATGTAAGCAACGACAAAGTTTTAGAGAAAATGGAAACAAAAATGAAACTTAACATCAGGAAGAGGCAGTTGAAATTTCTGGGGCACATAATGAAGAAGGAGGACTTGGAAAATCTGAATCTCACAGGATAGATTGAAGGCAAGAGAGACAGGAAAACGGTACATGGCATACTTGGTGACCTTGAGCAAATGGATGGCAGGACCGGGTTTAGGAGAAATAACAAAAACAAAATTTATTAAGAGCTACAAGGGACATGAAGTTGTGGAGAGCCGTGTTGACCTACATCCTAAGGGGATATGGCACATAAAGAAGAGAGACACTGGCACAAGCAAGAAGCAAAAATGTGGTGATCGGTTTGTCTGTTGGTGAAAACTGAGGAAAGACCATGTTGTATGTTCACACAGCCCAGTTCCCAAAACCTGAGCAAATGAGAAATATTTACAATTTTTATTTTTTTAAATCCTTTCTCCATTGAGCTGAAAAAATTTTCATCACCCTCATATAAATTCATTACAAATATAGATCAGCCATATTGCCAATTAAAAAAAAAAAAAAAAAAAAAAAAAATTCTTTATCTTCACTTAATAGGAGTATCTTTATCTGATTTTTCTCCTCGAACTGAGTTTCTCTTGTATATATAATTCTGTCCATGGTTTCTGCTATCATCACCAAACTTGACCCCCAGAGACTAGATTGCTTTGCTTGGGGGTTAAGTGATTAAAAAAAATATTTTTGTTCATATGGGTAGAAAAGTAAAAACACTTACTGTAGTGGTCTATTTAACAAATTTAGAAAATTGTTTTTAAACTCAATGTAAAAAAAAAAAATAAAAATAAAATGCATGTTTTCACTGCTGTTCCCTCTTTTCACTGCATTGTGAACCAATAATTCTTTTTATTTTTTCAATGTCTCAGAATTGAAGATTAAAAATCTGCTGCAAATGAATATGAAATTTTCGAAACGTCGATATTTTCATTATTGACATATATTGCATTATCAATTGCTTAAAAATAAAATCAAAGCATAAAGGAGTTTTGAGTTGTTTCTTGTACAGTGATTTTTGTTATGTAAAGTCAATGAACCTTTTGACTGTCATTATGTATTTTCTCTTTTAGAATTGAAATCTCAGTTACTACAATATTAGTCAGCTTTCTATTCAGTGTAATTGTTGTACCCTTTTGGATTTAGTTACGCATCTTAATGAGACTTACAATCATTAGATAGTAATTAGTAAAATGAGATTGATTCTCTGTTGGAAAATCATATATATAGAGACATCATATGTGTCTAGAATTGTTTTATGACGTTGATAGGTTAAAAGTAAAAGTAAAATAAGACCTGAAATCTTTTTTTTTTTTTTTTCATTAATTAACCAGTATGTGGCCATGTTTCAGAGTCCTGGTTTCCTTTTACTTAATGTTCACTATGAAAAGAATGTGGCCCTACATTTACATCCAAAAAGGGAATTTAATTTATTGTTTCTGCAAATTCAAGCTGATTGCTAACTTTACAGTTTCTAACTTCCATTCACTGATGACGACATCAGCAAAGACAGAAGATTGTCGACTTCATCAAGTTCAACTTCCTCTTTCCTCTCTACTGACTTGTATTTCCATATAAATGAAAAACCAGTATCAAAAATAAAATTGAATTTATTTGAATAAAAAAGTTTAAATGATTTGTTTCATTCTATATTTAAGCTCCAGTTGAAGACACTTGGATAGATGATCCAAGAATCATATTTGTAAATAAAGAGCAAATACAACAAAGAGAAGAAGCAATTGCTGAAAACTTTGGGGATGGAGAGTTGCCTATTTTGAAACAGCTGGAATATGTTGTAAGTATGAAGTAGAAATGGTGTTTATGATTTCTCAGCACTACTAAAGCAGATCGGTCCAGATGTACAAAAAAAAAACAAAAAAACATAGGAAAAATTGGGGGTGGAGCTGATAATTTTTGTAGATTAGCATTCTTTGGGCTTTCTTCAAGGTGTGACTTTTGTTAGAAATGAAAAATATGGATTTTATTTTTTTATTTTTTTTTTTTTAGATGGTGTTACATAAATATTGATACAGTGTTAAATTGATCCCTGACTTTTTAAAGAATTATTTGAACTTTTTTTTATTTACAAATGTAAACTTTGAAATTGTCCTTATGCCACTGATAACAAACATTTTGTATAAAAAGAAAAAAAAAAAGAATTCTTTTAAATGAATTGTGCTACTATGGGCATTCATATAAGAAAGGAAGATGTGGTTTTATCTCGATTTCAAATATTTCTGTTTTATAGCCACTAGGCAGTTTCTTTTTGTTTTTTTAAGTAAAATCCATGATGTAGTTTTATCTTGATCTCAAATGTTTCTGTTTAATAGCAGATGGTTTTTTTATTCTCACAATAAGCAAAAACAGCACAAATTCAACTACTTTTTTGTTGTTTTTGTTACTTTGCAAACACCAAAATTTATTTATTATAACTTTGTGTAAGCAATGCTAACTCTTCTAAGTGATATCCGCTTTGATCAAAGGGAACAGGAAAGTAAATGAGTGGATGAGAAGTTTTTGGAGACCAAACAACAAGAAACTGGACATTCATTATTTCAGGATGCTGGTCTATATTTGTTAATATGCTTAGGATCATGGAGTCAGTTCTAGTCTACCTTATCACATGATTCCAATGCTGGCCAGTCTTAATTGCCAGCCACATGTCAGGATAGTAGATTAGTGAGGAGTTGTTGTTAACAGGGAAGAGTCAATCTAACAGAGTGACATTGCAGAAATTATCCAAGACCAAATGTCACCTTCCTATCTACTCAGGCGAAGCTCTGAATGAAACATTTATATATGAGAAACCTGGTTTGCGTTCTCATTTCTCAATGTGCAGTTTGTTTTTTCCCCTCTTTCAGCATTTGGTGCACACTGATGAAGTCAAGAATTGATATGCAATGTGGGGATATCCATGGAAAGCTTGGACGAGGGTGACATTGTATGTTTACAAAATAACAAATGAAATATATACTAGCTTAAAGCCACCCTGTTGAGCAGCATTTAAGCTAGTTCCTGCAGAGGGATTTTCATCGGGCCTTCATCACAATAGGTAGGGAGGAGTAGATGTGATAGGCAACAATAAACTGCAGAAGAATCAAAATTGATCGCTGCATTTAAGTATTGCATTAATATTTAAGCTTATCTTTTAAAAGTTCAATGATAATTCTTCTGCTGCCATTTAATTTAAAGACAATTTGATGTACATTGGTCCTTACTTTCTGTGCAAACATTTATTTTTATTACATGGGTGACTTTCGCTGGATTTCACAGTTAATTTTGATTATTCCCAAATTTATTTCCAAGTTATAATTGTTGTACAAAAATTTAATTGCAAAAAAAATGAGTTATTTGAAGGCGTCTGACACTAGTATTGTTCAACGACATTACTATAGTTGTATCTGTGATTACAAAATCTCTACTATAACAACAAGCATTACAAAAGTGACAATGAGTATCTGTTGACATCACAAAGAAACTTTAGTTGGGACCCATTGAATTTCCCAGGGATGCATCCAAATCACCACTAGTGAGTCCTGTGGACTCACTACATGAAAAATCTATCAGCATCACTGTGGTTATGATAAATGTGTGATATGGGTACATCACTGGATAATCTCAAAAACAAGGCAAATCTTTTTGGTTACAATATTTGTATAACAGCTTTTTTTCTTTGCAATATTTTTCTTATTTTAAATCCATGAGGAATGTTCTTTATCATAGGAGAAAAATACAAAATCAAAAGTTTCTTAATAAATTGCTGTGTTAAACTGCAGAGCTATAGACTTTATTTTTTATTTTTGTTTACCATTGTCCCAAAAAACAATTTTAATCATGTCAAATAACTTAAATTGATAGAACAACTTCATATTTTTTTAATTAAATTAATAAATTCAAAACAAAAACAATATTGGCACTTAATCACAGTTTAATTAAGAAACTATTTTTTTTTCTGAATTAATAAATTTAAAGCAATGGCTGACAAACTTCAATGAGTTCAGGCATGTCAATAAATTAAAGAGAAAAAAAACTGAACCAAGAAAGTTTCTGTTAAGGTGAAATTGATGACATGCCATCCACTCATCCCACAGCCCAATGAAAGAAGAAAAGAGTGAAACAAAGAAATGAATAATTAGTAAACTGTATTTGACAGAATAACATCAAATGATTAATGCTGTGTTTATTATTTAAAATTACAAAAATATTGGTCTCTCTATAGTCTGGACCAACCATTACATGAAAATTTATTTTGTCTGAAGACATTTTTTGAGTGCTGTTAAATGTTATTTGAACAATGAATTGAATGTTAAATATGAATGTCTCCACTTGTTTGTTAAAATGTTTTGTACTCAGTTTTAAAAAGTATGTTAAAAACAAAAATAGAAAATGTTTTAAAAAAATAAAACATCTATGTACTAATTACTATCAATATCTAGTTCATTTGACTAATGATTTGCATTTGGTTACAAAAAAAATATATTAGTTTCATTTTAAATCAAATTGATGTTGTTTACTTAGTATCAACCAACAACAAATTCCTTTTACTATGCTATAACTGTTACAGGTTAGTTTTGTGCATTGTATCGCTTTTCATGAGAAACTTTAGTCACATCCTTAGGATGCACAGATTGAGAAAATTACTGTATCCTTTAAGATTTTTATGCATCAGGTGCGCAGGATGCAGGTACTGCAAATGATCGGAGGCACATCTCTGATAGAATCTTTGTGGACCTTTTTAGTTTTAGCTTAATAAAATTTTTTAAAATCTGAAAATATCCAAATAAAATATATAATATAAATTTAAATTAGATGAAAGTTGCTATATTTTTTAACTAGAGCATTTTCAATTATTTATTTATAACTCGTAGTCTTATCACTCATTAGGCTTGTAGGGGTACCTCATACTGCAGACATAACAGCAAAGGTGTATCTAGAGCAAGAAAGCTTGACAGCCAGTCGCTATTCAAGTTGGTTTTGAATTCTAAATTTCCTTCTAGAATGGTTGCCATCCAAGGCTAGAGAGCCCAGTCTAACCTGCTATTTAATTCATAGTTGAATTAAGATGGAATCATGCCCCCTCCACCACCTTTTCCGAGGGTATTGGCGCAAAGCGAACAGAATTAAAATTTGGCTTGACAATTTAACTTTCTGTGTCAATAACTATTATACTACCTGCATATCAGCACATTTAGGACTAGTATTTCGTAATTGCCTTTTATTAAAACTTTCAGTTTCTCTCTCTCTCTCTCACTCTGATCATCAATGCAGATTATAAAAGCTGAAATAAGCCGGTGGTGAAACCCAGAATTGCATCTCTCTTACATATTATTAAGCTGCTTTACTGATTAGGCCATACAATTCCAAATATGTAGCTATTATTTTTCTGCACACTGATCTGTGGTCATTTTCTTTAATTTGTATACATTAGTGCTATTATTACTAGTAGTAATATTATTTTTAATTTATTAAATTATTAATTTTTACTTATTAATGACTTTTAAATTGATGATTTGAGAGTTGTAATAAAAAAAAAATAATTAAAATTCAGATGAAAATACCAATTAAAAAAATTATGTGAAAGTTGCTTCAAAATATTGAAATTTAAGTTTTTCACGCTTTCCAGGAACTTTCATTATTTCACCCTATACAAGGCAATAAAGCTACTAAGATGCAAGGAGTTATTGAGTGTGAGAGAATATGAGAAAGCAAAAACATTATTAAGGAAAAAAAGCAATAAAAGAATAGGAATTTAGAAGACAGAAGATAACGATTGACATTGTATTTAAATTATTGAAGATCAAAGTTGGCTGGAAAGTAAGAATCTAGAAGAGAATTCATTAAATGAGAAGTGTGAGAAAAGAAAATGTTAGCATAGAACTTATGGTTACATCTTGCCATTTCAATTGCAAAATGATGAGACCTTGCCACCAAGTTCTGCATTTAAATTCATAAAGTCTAGTTACCATATAGGAAAGTTCATCAGAATTTACATAAAGAGGTGATCACATTGATATATTAGAATTAGCTTGTTAGTTTACTTAAAATATTTGTTATTCTCTTACTAATCTTTACTTATTTTATTTCCATTTCAGTTGACTTATCCTGAAAGTGATACATTTCAAGGGTTGAATTGCAAAGTCAAATTTACTGGTCCACATGTCATTGAGGGTCTACGGAATCTAGCCAGATCTTGCAAGATTGAACAACCCATGCCAAGTTACGTGGCAAATGTGTTGCTCCTTGGTCGAGACCGTTTTGTTCTCAAAAACCAATAACTGTATATTTTAATTTGTGATTATAAAACAATCGATTTTATTTTACTTGAATTCTCTATCATTATTTTGTATTTTGAACTCCCCACCCAACCTATAAAAAAAAAAAAAAAAAGAAAATATATATCCATGCTTAATGAAATGGAGGCTGTTTTATTTTATTTCCTCTTCTATCAGTGTACAGTCATGTAGATAAAAGATATTGTTATATATTTGCATGTATATATTCTTTTACAAAAAAAGAAAAAAAAATGATTGTTGGCAGTGGTGAAAATAAATGTATTTTCTGTTACCTAAATGGTTGTCTACTTCACTCTGAACACAAAACATTCTCTCTATTGTTCAACTGCTTTCAGCTTCAAGTATCCGTATGACACGGGAATAGCTGATTTTTGTAACTAATAATTTGGTATCTGTCACTTGACAGACATAAAGATTATTAAATTTCAAGTCTAAATTGTTTGTCCATTTAAAATACTACATTTTTGAGAAAATATACTTAATCTAAATATCTTCTGTGCTGTGTTTCATCAGGACGCTGGTGATCATGGCTCTCCACAATTTCCTTTCTTTTGATGCTCTTAATAAATTCTCTTTTATCTCCTAAACGTTGTTCATCCATCCATTTACTCAAGCTTGCTAGGTAGGGTATGTGTTATTTCCCCTCATTCCTTCAATTATATAGGAGGAGTGATATTATGTAACCGTTCAGTACTGTTTTCTTTTTGTTTCTAGTGGAATTTTCCTTGTTTCTTAATACTCTGTATAGCTTTTGGAAGGCATTTTTCACTATCTCAATATGCCTTTAGATATCAGTGTCACATTTACCATCCTCTGTTAAATCACTTTCCAGTTAGCTTCAAAGGTTTACACATTTTGGCTTATACTCTTTTCCTATTACCCAGGGGTCAGACAGAGAAATTAATCCTCTTGACAGGATGTCCATTTTGGTTTCATTCAAATCGTGTGTGCATGTATGTATATTTTAATTTACTGTCAGACTTAAAAACATTCTGCAAAATTTTCAATAAAGTCTTATAACTGATTTATTTTAGGGTATAAATATTTTTTGTCTCCAACTTAAAAATTTTTGCTGCTCAACCCAAGATAGAGGTTGTCTAAACTGAATGTACTATTCCAATGTCAAAGTAGTCAAATTGTGTGTGTGTGCATGCATGTGCCTGTGTATACATTAAATGGCTTAAGCACACGTAAGTCACTCACGCACACATATTACCAATGCAAAGTCACATGCAGACGGTGTGTGAGGGACAAAGAATTAGTTCTTTTACTATAGGTTAGATTAACAAGAACAATGACTGAATATGAAAAATTTTTGATAAGTAACAATGAATGTTACGAAACTGGTTTTCAAAATTTGTGAGGGGGTTGGGGACTATTTAAAAATACTGAAACTCAGCATAATGTCCTACCTTAAATGAATAGGTTTAAACCAAAACATATACACCCTACAATAGATCAGCTACAAACTATATATCTAAAAAAAAATATCTTAAAGTATAAAATTATTTTTAAAAATATCTAATTAAAGGCATAAAATTGTATTCAAGATTTTTAGATTGCGGTATTAAATAATCCATAGAGGTGTTGATATGCTGCTAAACAAAAACAACCAAACAGAAATTTGATGTTTATATTTCTGAGATGAGGTATTATGTACATTATTTACATTATTCAGACTATTGTCCTCATCTTTGTCACCATATTTATCACAATGTTTCGGCACAGTGGATAAAAGCATTGGTTAGATCCAGTGACAGGACCCAAAGAGTGAGTTCAATACCTGGTTACGGCAGTGGAGAACTTTCAGGGGGAAATTAGCAGGAGATAACTGATAACTGACATCCATCAAAACATGGCACGTGGAACTAGAACAGTCTGGCCCAGTGAGCGAAATAAAGCGTTCAGTTCGAAATTCCAATCACCTGAAGAAGGCCGGAACGTACAATGGCCGAAAAGTTGTGTAAATATGGCGACAAAGATAAGGACAATAGTCCAAATAATGTAAATAATGTAGAAATTTGATGGCGTGAATTTGGGTTGGTTGAGAAGCTAAGAAATTCAGAAATTGGTGATACTTACAATTGCAAGAGTTGGTGTTTCTCACACATAATAATCCATAGGTTTACAATCAGTGAAGTTACAGACAGATGTAGCTGGTGAGGTTGCAAAAACTATCTTCCTGGATATTGCATGGAGCTAAATGTTGCAGCCACTCTCCAACCAAGGCTTTACCAGTGTTCAGCAACTCCACATAGCTATTTGAATTGAGTCTGAGACCTTGTTCAAAGATGTGATGTAGAATGGCATTATCCTCATTGAAGAAACACCCAAAGACCATCACAGTTTGAGGAAACTTGGTCTTCATGACACAAGGAATATGATATGGATTGTAGACAAGCTGTTGTCCAGCTTGTCCTGAATTCTGTTCTTCAGTGAAGAACCTAGACTGACCTTGGTTCAACAGGATGTTTCACATTGTCCAGGCTTAGGTTTTGTTATTTTATGGCATATCAACTTCAATGGGTTATTTAATGCTGACAATTTTTGTTACTGGTAATATTTTTTCCTTCAAAAATCTATTTTTGGTAATATTTTTTTTTCTTCAAAAATGTATTGTCGGTAATAATTTTTTCTTCAAAAATTTATTGCTGGTAATTTTTTTACAAAAAGTATTTCTAGTATTAAAACCTATTTTTACACTTTGATAGTGTTTTGACCCCAGTTTGGGGGTTAACTATTTGCCCATAGCTGGGATCCTAACAGGTGCACCAGCAATTGTGAGGAGGTTCCATGTTCGTCAAAACATCTTGATCAGAGTCCTTGCTGTTGGACGTAGTTTATCGTCTTACCCAGGACGCGGATGTAGTTTATCGTCATACCCAGGATGGTCATCTTGTCCAGGAGTTTCTTTGTCTTTGTCAGATGGTTTTCTTGAGAGTTTTTTTTTTCTTTTAAAGAAGTTGACTGTTACAACACTTGCATGACTGGTAGTGGAGGTTTTGTTCAAGTCCAGGTTCATGGTGGAAATTGCAACACCCATTTCCTGCACCAATTCTTGCATTCACTTGCCTGGTTCTTCCATCATTTTCTCCTGCAGTTGTTGGATGAATTCTGGTGTACGGAGGCAAGCCAAACGTCTGCTGTGTTCTTTCCAACAAACCATGGCCTCATAGTCTCCATTACAGCTCTTCATTTCACATCTTACTGTTTTCACAGCATTGAGTAGCTGTCAGGTTTGTGGCATTTTGATGCCTGGCCTGATTCATCAAGATGCAAGTTACTTTTTTTTCTTTCTTTTTTTTTTTTTTTTTTTTCAATATTCAGGTCACTTCCAGTCGTCCATGTCACTTAACCATGACACTTCTAAAACCAGTAACTAGATGTCACAATGCTGTTCACTGTTTACAGATATTTCAAACCAATCAAAAAATAAAAACATTAGTCTGTCAAATTTAGCCTAAATACCATATATATATATATATATATATAAAGCAACAGGCAATATAATTTTTGTATTGATATATACAGGGTTCAATTGATAAGTTCTCTAAATTATGCAAAAATAAAAGTAACACTGACATCTCATTTTAACAGGTATATTTACCAAAATTACACAAAAATATCTTAAAATATTAAAGAGTGTAAAATCACCATTGGTTTCAGACACAGACACCAGACGATTTCAGAATCTTTTGCAACTCTTCTGGATGGTCACCTTATTTAAGTTGGTGAATGCTACCATAATCATATATATATATATATATATATATATCCCCAATGCTGCGAAGTGCAGAATTGGAGGCATTGAGACTTTTCTGATGCAAATGAGGGACAATTGAATACCAAAAGTCATCATGTACAGCTAGCTACAGATTTGCAGAAGATGGCTCTAGTAAAAAAGCAGGCTAAATGGAAACCTTGAAGCTAACGGTGTATCACATAATCCCTTTGAACAGATATCCCTGGACAAAAAGGAGTTGAGAGCATACAGTCCAAATGGCATTAAAGCATTTGAACTTAGGCATCTCTAAGACATCTAAGGAGGACAAGAGCACCAATTAAACATCTGCAATAAGACCAGCAGCTGCATCTCATAACCCACAATCTTTTACTCATTGTGGTCTATAAGTCTCTTGTGGTAATGAACTGTCTTATTTAGCATAAACATCAACCAACTAACCTATTAGCTGCTGGATACTCCTATGTGGAAACTGATGTCATTATTGAATATAGTTTAAAAAAATGGATGTTTGTATCACAACAAAAATGGAAAGAAAATATAAAAATTTACGTGAAAAAAATTACAATTCCATAAAATTCAATATGTTGCTTTCAGCTCAGAGCAGACACCAGGTTCATTGACAGGGTGCAGTTTCTTGTAGTTAAACACTGGTGGCTTAAAAATTACCCTTCTGCCAGAACATTAGCCACGAGTGAAGAACAAAATAATCTCTTGCAGTAAACCAGATTTTATTCTTACGTTGTAACTTACTGCTATAAGCGAGCAAAGTAGAGATGAGATGTAAGTGATGGGGAGGTGCTTAGTTCAGTAGCCGTTATCTATATCTTTCTGTAAGGCCTGCCTTGTTCCTTCTGTTTTCCTTTTCATGGGATGATCAGTTTTGTAGGCAACAGTTTTCTTTGTCTAAAAAAGTAATTAATCTTCTTTCCATCACTTTCTCTCAGTCTGAGCCTCTTGCTCTTGTACTTTGAGGTTGACTTCAATTACTGATGGCCATTGGTTGAAAGTAAATGTTCCATATTGTTTTAAATTTAACATGACCTCAGCTTGACTCATATTGCTACAAATACTTGAGTCCACCTGCAT